GAGATTTTGAATTGATTGAGACAACCAGCAAGATAACTTGCACTTATATGTCGTTTTTTGCAAAATATTACCATGAAGTCAGCTACATGTTAATGACAGCTAAATAAGTAATTACATGTGTTATTAGGCATATTTGAAACAATCCTCTTCACTGACGTCTCAGTAGTATACATATTCTGATCGCTTATAGCATGCCAAAATCAATATGCAATGTGAATAAGATCGTGAGTATAGGGGTTGTGAAGATTATTAAGTTTTTGATTGAGATCATGAACCCATTGATGTTAAACCACCGTTGGAAACCTGGAAGCACTAGACGGCCGTTTTGTCCTATTGTGGGACTCCTCAATAGTGCACATCCACGATTGATACATTACAATTAGTAAACTAACAGTACATTTTTGACCAACCAAAATGTATATGAGCAACCGAACTTTGTATGTGTATATGTATAGAAAACATATTTAGGATAAATAATTGAAAATCACAACTTTCCCATCGCATGTATATACAAGTCTCTTCAGTGGTTTTAGGAAAACAACCCTCTGAAAATAGCACACATCCTTAACGTAGTTATTTTTAACTACTGCGTTGTGGAACAAAAATACGTTTCAAGTCAGAACGGCTGCACTAACACATCTTAGTCCTATCCATTTCTAAAAATATACAAGGTTTCTATTCACCATATGTATGTGCATGAAATTTGACAGATAAGATAATGAGTTTCCGCTTGAAACAATCAAAACTTGCTGTTTGGCAATAAAGTCTAATGTGTTTGATCATTAATAATAACATAATTGCCACATTTTATCTTAATTTAAGTGAGAGAAATTCATAGATTGAAACAAATATAATGTCAGTCTTCATAATACGACAAATTTCATATAATATTTGTTGACGCATACATCAACAACATCTAGAAAATTTTCTTCATACGTCACCAAACATATCTTGAGAATTGGAAGAACGTTTAAGCTAAATTTCTAGACCTTACGAAACGTTGATTGTAGAAGAATTCAATGGGCGAGAACTCAAACATAGCTCTTTATATTATTCGTTCTGCTACAATCCATTATATTCAGTGATAAAACCATATGAACGGAACCAGCTTGTAAACATGGTTCACATATCTTTTTCTTTGAAGTGGATTGTTTTGATTTTTTAAAATTATAATCATAATGTCATCAATCATCAACGAAAAATTAAAAATCATAATTATTTGATCAAATGTAGTAAACCTGCTTATTCGGCGTAGTTACAGTTCTAAAGCAATTGAAAATTGTACAATCCATCACAAATCATCTACAGCATAATACGTCCAATGTGAAGGTGACGTTTATATACATTGATCACAGTTACATATAGTAAGCCTTATTTGTATGATCTATTTTTTCCAGGTCATATAAATAAAGTCAAGATAAACCTGTTATATTTTTACTAACTATTTACCGTAATTTAAACATCTGATTTTATATGATGGGATTAAAGAGGTAAAACTACATTGTTTTAGTCATTGTGATTTTTGTTCAATGGTACTTCCGTTTTTATTCAATTTGATAATTACTCAGTATAGTATTTGTTTTGTTTCTTAGTGTGATAACTTATTCCATATAACATTAATTTATTTGAATGAGATGTTTGTTCAAGATGTGATATTCGTGTAATAAACTGAAATTGTTCAGTCTCTTATTGGCATATGTGCATACTGTGCGTATGCCTCGATATTGCCTTAATTTACAAGCATTATAAGCAAAGATACTTTTCAAAGTAAGATCATTCCAAATGTCACTTTTTAGCCAAGTGTAAATTCATAGATGCTTTTTTAATGGCATAAAGTTAAACCACCTATCCTATCGATCACTACGCAGGTGATGATAAGATTCGAAAGCGCAAATCTTATAGGAGTTGAAATCTTTATTCAAGTAAGTTTAAATGAGAAGTTCAACTGTAATAACACATTTGCTTATGATTTGTACATTTTGTATTATTTGTTATCACTTTGATTCACCGAAGGAAGAGGAGGATTTTTGATTGGTGATTCGATTATGAGATAAAAATGTAAGACTTAATTTACCCGTAATGCATCCCTGTCACACTATTTCAATATACTTATTAATGCTCAACACAACATTCAATACGTTTGCTACGAATCATCTCAATCGAAGTGAATGATGCAAAGTTACGAATTTGTTTCATAAAATGTGAAAACCATATATTATATAATTCATTCGCAAATCTTCTATCAAGTATCTCATACTTAATCGTTCTTTTACTGCTATTATTCTCTGTTTACATTTCTGTTTTCTTCGATTTTATCTTCTCAAACATCGGCTACCAGGCATTCCATATCAGATTGGTGTTACATACTACTTATGTTCGACGGCATAAGTAGCATACACCACAAGATAATAAAATGTGTACTTGTTCATAATGAAAAAGAAAACAAAACAAGGTTGATATTTGTTATATCCTAATGACAAATAAACGAATTGTCGAGGATAAGAATTATTTATCGATAATTATCACATATATTCCTATTGGGTAACTATTAAGCAATTAGTTTATATGTACATTCATATTTCTTATATTATAAGCTTCTATTTCACTTGTTGACTACTATCATACGATTTATCATTCTTAAGTTATTTTCAATCAATCAGTTACATTATCTCACAATCACAGACACTTTCAGTCTGAACACGTATCATGATTATTTTCGATTCCATGGTGTGATGAGGTCTGATTTGCATGCACATAAACTGCGTATGTCTGAAATATATGATTTATACAATAGAAGATGAAATTGTGTTCTGGACTCAAGGAATACTACAAAGTGATTAGAATCAATGTGGACTGAGAATTGACTCTAAGCTGTTCGTGTTGGTTAATACATCATTGGTTTGGCACAATGCCAAGATCATTATAAGTCATATTCTAATTAGCGATGTTATCACATGATAAATAACAGGTTATAAATGTCATAACAATATCGATTCAAATATTTAGTCGATAATATAATTAATTACTTTGACTAATTAGTCTATCATCTGTAATAATATTCTCATTCAATGATTTTTTTTAAAAAATAGCCTACTATAACCCAGATACACGGCCATTAGGAATTCTTTATTGTCATGATAATAAGTATTTTTTTTTAAAAAAATAGTTATAAAATATAAATTGATCATATTACATAGAAAGAAAAAAAGAAGAAAAAAGGAAAAAGAAAACTACCTATTTGTTTCTAACCAAATGACCTTATTATCAATGTTAAAATATTTATTTTGTCTAAGATAATTCTTCACAATAATTATAAATATTGATCCATCTAATTCATTTATATAAAAAGGGTTTTTCAACTAATAAATTATCATTATCAAATTCAAATAGAATGTCTTTTATCAAATTAACAAAATTACAAAAATATCTTATATTTCTTTATGTATTCTGTTCAATATGTGGATTGATAGCATCAACAATATTATTTTTACATTATATAAGAATAAATTCTAATTGTAAGTTTATTAATAATATGGGATTGGTGGAAGAAATCATAATAAATCGATAAATTATGTCACTATGATTACATTTGTATAATGATATTTTATATGATAATACATATTCTTTGCTTAATTATTTACCTAAATTTAAACTATATACATAAGGACTTTTTTTAATTTGATCGAATATTTTCACAGTACTTGGGCGCTGAATTGATGTAAGACATTAAAGAGGAAGAATGGATTTGAAAATTCTCATCGAATAAATTTGAAGTAAATCCAACGTTTCACGTGGCATATATATAGAGAGAGATAAATAGATAGATAGATAAATAGATAGATAGATTGAGTGATTGATTGATTGATTGGTATTGATTGATTCATTTGATTACAAAATGTATTAATGAACTTAGTATCATTTTTTTTCAATTCATTTGTAACTGAGACATAAATGAGAAATCTGATCAAAATAGATAATTAGATTAATTTATAACACTTTAAAACTCATTCTTATGGTAAAGTTTTGTTATAAATTATTGTGAATAATCACATAATTCAATTGTGAGATTAATATCTAACATCCCACGATCTACAAATAAATAATGCATACATACTGTTCGTGTTTTTGAATCTCAGGTTTGGAATAGTGTCATTATTCTACATAAGCTCCCTTCAAATGGAATATAGACACAAAATTTGGTTTCCTATTTCAAGACGCTACAATTTCTACATATGGAGGGGACGAAAGACTTTAGAGATAATTTTTCCTAATGTAAAACATAAAATCTATATACGATTAAATTTAAGCATGCAAGTAAAAGTGGATAACAAATAAACTTTCTAATGAAATAAATTTAAGTGAACGAAAACATCGTAAAGATAATCGGTGAAATATGTATATAGAAATTTCATGAGAGAATCAACAAATGGTGTTGGTAGTGACATACAATGTTATGCATGATGTCGTGAAATCGAGTGAAATATATGCATCACCTCAATGTGCACAAACTCATTAATAGTTTTTGTTTTATTGGCATTTTTTACACTGAACTAGCCACGTCACCACTCACAGACAATTCTCCTACATTGGATAAATCGATGATGGATGCAGGTAAGTTTATAAAATGAATTTCTGAGTGCCTTTGAATTATTATGAACAAGTTGGTTGGCTGAATTGCATATGCTTTCATGACAGATTTGCGTTAAATTGCACATATACTCCTATAATTTATTTCTGTGGTTTTACATTTTGTGACAAAAATATCATCATAATTTGTTACATTTATGTTTTCTTCACACACTTTATACTATTTATTAGTGTACTTTATTCATTGTGAATGTTTCTCATTGCACTGGCCAGGTTTCAATAAGTATGGTATTTTATTATCATTCCTAAAATCATGAACGTTTGATTAGCTCACTTTGTGAAAGCTATTCGCCTATAACTTAAATATAATTAAGTGTTTACTTTCTTTTTATTTTATTTCATGTGAAGACAATATGTTTATCAATAATAATTGCACAGGTATTAACATAGATAATGAAAATAACACCAACTGTGATAATTTTGAGGAATCTGCTTGCCACAACCAAATATCAAATGACTTCCTTAGAAATCATTTATTACATTCAGATGATTTCATCATAAATATTTGTGAGTTTAATTAATAACTTTTCATTAATTACTTCCCATTTAAGCATGATTTTGAATAATTTTTTCTGGTTAGCGTTTCTTAGCGAGTTAATTTTGTACGGGATGGGCTCGCTAACCCCATGCACAAACCTTCTTTATCCGGGATTGAGACCAGCAGTAGCTCCGGAAAAGCTCCAGGCGTAGTTCAAGCATGATTTTGGTCAAGGTTTTTAATGTGTATAAACTTTTAACTTATTCTAATCGTATACGAAATTATTGACTGAAATCATAAGAAAAATAATCACTTTTTAACATGTACCCAGTTATCAATTTTACAACATAAAACAGTGATTGAATATTTGAATACAATTAAGAAATAATTATCGATAAATATTTTTTTCAATTGACACTTCCACAATTAAACCAGATTGTCGTGTCTTATGCCCCGTTAAATATCACGTGACAAGATTGCCAAATACAACACCGAATTACACGACCTTGGCCCTGTGCCAAACCAATGATGTATTAACCAACACGAACAGCTTAGAGTCAATTCTCAGTCCACATTGATTCTAATCACTTTGTAGTATTCCTTGAGTCCAGAACACAATTTCATCTTCTATTGTATAAATCATATATTTCAGACATACGCAGTTTATGTGCATGCAAATCAGACCTCATCACACCATGGAATAGAAAATAATCATGATACGTGTTCAGACTGAAAGTGTCTGTGATTGTGAGATAACGTAACTGATTGATTGAAAATAACTTGAGAATGATAAATCGTATGATAGTAGTTAATAAGTCAAATGAAAGCTTATAATAAGCGAAACGCAAATCGGTATAATCTAATTACTTAATAGATATTCCATAATAAAAATATTATATATATATATATATATATATATATATATATATATATATATATATATATATATATATATATATATAACAGTCCATAAATAATTCCTAGCAGTTACCCATAATTTAATCTTCGGATACAACACAGATGTCAACATTAGTATTATAGTATTTCTAAAATTTCTAAGATTTTTATTCATAATGCTTGTTTGTATATGTTGATTACGCATTTTCTTCAAATATCTCTTTTGATATCACATTTAGTGTTTCATTTGCTGAATCCAGCACGACTAGATAGGAATATTTCTTTATTAGTTTCTTTAAATTATATACTAAACTTAATTGAACATGAAATATTTCACGGAACGCACTTTTAATCAACAACATAAAAGCATATCGAAATTTGGAATATCGTTGTCAAATGGTGTTTTTAATAATGAAGATACAAATTGGTTCAGTGCCAGTTATTTTCATCTTTCTTAAGAGGGGCTTCGGCCTCATGACTTCCGAAGAATCTCGTCTTTCACTAAGATCCTTCATAATTCTTATGAATGAAGATCCTTCAACTCCGAGATAATGTCTAAATGGTTTAAATTATTTTTTCTGATAAGCACTTCTCTAGTAATTTTGTTTACTATGAAATCGTGTCGCTGACCCCATGACCGACCCTCCTCTTTTACCCGGTCTTTGGACCAACAGTAACCTTGAAAGAGCTACAAGCGGAGTTTATTTTCATCTAGTAGATAATGTATCTACTATTTTGATTCAGTAATCAGTATGAAAACACTGAAAATCAAGTCTGATTAGAATGAAATCTAATAATATAAACAAATACTATATCATTTTTGTTAAGATTTTTATACTGAATACTGGTAAGCTGGAAAACAAATAAGATATGTTCAGCTTAACTGAAAACAGCTAAGAAATATCAACATTGTATTGTTTCAGTATAGACTAAATAGTGAAGATAATACAGTAACATCAAATAACTTGCTACTGTTAAGTTAGTTATTTAGTGAATCGATAGTATGTGTAACAAAACTGATTTTTTAGAGTGTAGTTAAGGTGTGTTTAGTACAAATATGAGTTAACCGTAAATATTAGCTTAACTACTCGTTTAACCTATTTTTCTTTACGTCATGTACATTTTCGAAGTCTTTACTGCTTCCTATAACTGAGCATAAATGTTAAGCAATAATATTCAGAAGAAAGCGATTCCTATGAATTATATATTTATGTTGTATCAAGTTAATCTTTGCAAGCTTCTAAGGAAAAATTTTATCTAAACTTGAATACAGACCATTTTAGTAATCTACTATGTGTCGTTTAAGACTTGTATTCAGTTCAGTAAATAGTCTCAACATCATCATTATTTTCTTACTAAATGATGTTTATCAAGCACAAACTACTTTACATCAAAACCAATATGAATACTAAATAATATACGAAATAGGCGTTACTATGATTTATGGATGAACCAATCAGATATAAGGTGACAGATTTTGGAATTTGAATCGAAATTCATTCACTCATTCAGCTAACTATCACTTTGGCATTACGGCTGATGTCAGTTCATGATGGAAACATTGAACTTAATTTCTAACGCTGATGTTCAATTGTAAATCCTAATCCTCATTCCTCACATTAATCTATGAGCCTCTTTTAACCCTGATAATTGGGTGGACATCCCAAGTTTATTTTAGCGTTTCTCAAATGTCGTCCATAAATTATAGTCTCACCACGAAATAAAATCACTGTGGTCGTTAAATCAAAAACATTTAAGTTTATCAAACAGTCTAATTATCGTCAAACGTTTGTGTAATATTGTCAGAAATATTGTGAGTTACTTAAAGTTAGACACTAACATTGTTGGATGCCAGCTCAGTGGCCTGGAGATTAGGCATTCGTGATTTCAATCAAATTTATTCTATTTTAAACGTGTAATAAATAAATCAATGATTTTGAAATGTTTTAAAATAGTGCATTAATTTATTGATTTTTTCGTTTTAAGTGAAGAATACAATGAATGTAAATGAATCACATCTTATGGCTGCCATTAATTACTACCGATCTTGTATCACAAACTCCAAGGAGGAGAAATCGTCAAGAAAAGAGAAAATTGTTCAATTAATATCATCCCTTTTCAACGGATGGTTATCGCCACTAGATTCTGACAAGATCTCCTCCAATATTAGCAACAATATACCTGATGATAAATTGTTCAATCTCACCAATTTAATTTTACCACTGATATTTCAAAATGGACGAACAACTATATTTTCTTTAAACGTAGTTCGAAGTAGAAACAAAAATATAAATCTATATATTTATGTGAGTTATTGGACAAAATATCTGTTGTTTATTTACACGTAATCCTAAATTATAAACGTCCATCTAGCTTACAAACTAGTGAATTATTAGGGCTCCAAACCTCGAACCATTTCATGGTACAACAAAGTGATATTTATAATAATCTTCTTTATAGATTTAAGTCAAGTTCGAAATACCTATGTACAATTATTTTTAAATTAAACACTGTTATTAGTTATGCAATATATCAGCACGTCATTATTCTCTCAATATCGTATACCTCGACATGTTCGCATAAATATTAGGATAATTGAATGTATGTATGATTCTTTCGACGCATTCAGTCCATAGTTTTATGTAAGTTACATCAGTAATAAGAGAAAGTCTCATATTACGTAATACGCCATACATTTTATGTATTGGTGCATTTTTGAGCTTAAATTCATAAATAATCTTGTCAATTATGAGTAACAGATTCAGTTATAGTTCATTTACTATCTATATCACTTCATTTCATTTATGTTATCAAAATATGCTACAAAATGTGCACACTCTAAATGTGAAAAATAACTTCATTGATTCCCGTACCAATAATTTTGTCCTAGAACGACTTATTTTCTATAAGCCATTTAGCTAAAGCATAAAATCTATGTACTGATAGTTAAAAACTAAGTGTTCTTATCTGGAAAAATAACATTTATCATCCTACAAATCAACCTTCTTAATTCAACAAAATACTTTGTAAACAATCATCAAAACTCTCAATAGATAGTAAATGTTAAAGTAAATGCATTCCGAAAGAATGAACACCGATTAGTAACTCTAACATACAAATGTACAATATTTCATTGGAATTCTCTTAAACAATACAAAAACTTCTTTTTTATTTCAGATTTCTTCAGGTCCATTTAATGTATTTACCAGTAGTGTTTCAAATATAGTAAGATAAAATATGAAAAATCTATTTATTTATATTTGAATTGATAATAGAATTTCATTGACAGTTTATTTCTGATTTATTGTAATCTGTAACACGAAACATCATGTTAAGTTAATTTTATTGATCGAATGTATTGATAAAGATGTGAATAATGGTGGATTCAGTGTTCAAAACGGTTTAGACTTACTTTCTTTTATATCAATCATATCAAACAGTATTATCGGTGAGACTGTAATTTATGGACGACATTTGAGCAACACTAAAATGAATTTGGGATGTCCACCCAATTATCAGGGTTAAAAGAGGCTCATAGATTAATGTGAGGAATGAGGATTAGGATTTACAGTTGAACATTAGCGTTAGAAATTAGATTCAATGTTCCCATCACGAAATGATAGTTAGCTGAATGAGTGAATGAATTTCGAGTCAAATTCCAAAACCTGTTACCTTATATCTGATTGGTTCGTCCATAAATTATAGTCTAGTCGTATTCTCAAGCACGACAGAAATAAGAAATACCACATCAGCTCACAAATATCACTGATTTCTTACTTATTTTCCTGTATCTTAATCTTAACAGTGTGAAATGTTTGACAAAATATGAGTAAACGCAAATGTCACAATAACAAAATGATAAATTCAAAAGAAAATTCGTCTGCATAGATGATGTGATAATAGATTACTTTTGATTAATTGTTGTAAATTAACCAAAACATTTGGAGCAGTGAGTGCCATTGCCAAATTGGTAGATCTTTGCCACAATCAACTCGGATAGAGAACTTAATCAACCACTCATAACACACTTCATCATGTTTGTATTACAAACGACTTAACAGAAAGAATCTACACACTTGATTGTCAATTAGAAATTCTTTGGAATTCTCAATCATCACATTAACACTAAAATCTATACAGGAATCCTACAAGGCTCATTAAGTCAGTTAAAATCATTTCTTATATTGATTAATCGTGGTTCATTTACGTCCACACTGTTCCAGTGAATAAAGTACATGTTTATTGACTAAAAGAGTCTACATTGACTACGTTAATTAGGGTAAAACTTTCAAAAGCACTGCATGCAATTGAAAATTAATTTATTTACATCAATAATCTGTAATATATTTCATGTGTAATACCTTAATTAGTAATAATAACACTTGTGTTGGGACAACAATTTATTTCAGTAACCACCTATATATACACATATATAGATTGTTGAAGATTAGAAAATGTGCCACATAACATTCTATAAAGGTGTATCATTTAAATACATATTAAAGTAACTAAAAAGTAGTCTGTCTTATCTTAGCGTTGAAAAATTGCATAAACGAATGATCGATATTCTATCCCAAGCAGTGCGTAACCACGACCCCGCATGTGAGAATTGAACCCAGAACCTTCGGTCTCGCGCGCTAACAATCATCATGTGCTCCCTAGTGACTAACTTCAAGATGGATTTCCTGAGGTCCTAGTAAGAAGCCGTGACCAGTGGAGTCCAGTTCGTGTAGGGTAGAGACAGGTATCTACCTCAGACAATGGATTAAGCAAGATCATGAATTGATTGAAGTTAGACATTAATACTGTTGGATGCTGGTCGGCTCAGTGAACAAGAGGTTAAGTGTTCACGTATGAGACCGAAAGTCCTGAGTTCGAATTCCTTTTGTACAGGATCGTGGATGCATACGGTTGAGAAGTCCCATATTAGAGCTAAATGGCAGTCCAGTACTTTCGGGTTTTCAACGGTGGTCTAGCGCACATCGACTCATGAGTTCGGATATAATAATTACTACAATCTCCACAAACCCCCATTCTGATAGCAATTCCATCCCAAGGTTAGACATGTTAGTTTCAAATTAATTGAGTACCGGATAGGAAGTTAGTAATAAATATATTTTTTTTCTTATATCCCAATGAATAATATTTTGTTTTTTATTATCATACTTATCCTGATTTCTGAATTATATGGAGTTATGACATGATAAAATCAGGGATTTGTGTGCTTTACTTTTTCTATAACTAATAACTAGTCGGTCAACAATGGAGAAGGAATAGAAGAACAAATTTTCAAGTTATTGGAGAATTTTGAAGTGGGAGAAAATAAGGAAGAATTGGCTAAAGGTGTTTTCAATTTATATTCAGACATTCAAAATGTAAGTAAAATTATCACAACCACTTTACAATTATTCAAAAATATATTGTTATGCACATTTTCACATATCCCAATACTATGGTTAATAAGATACTTAAATTCCAGGTATTGAGAAACGCCTATGGAAAACTGTACCATCTAATGAAATTTCAACTTTCGAATAGTTTAAGCAACTGTTACTGAGATGCATTACATACTTGCATACTTGTTTACTTACTTACTTACTTACTTACTTACTCCTGTTACTCCTCATGGAGGAGTAGAGGCCGCCCACCAGCATTGTTCATCCAACTCTGTCCTGGTCAAACCTACCCAGTCGTTCCCAGTTGCTATTCATCCTCTTAATGTCTGCTTCCGATTCTTTAGCCTTCCTCTCTACCGTTTCCCTTCAGGATTCCAAGTAATCACTTGCCGCCTGATGTAGTTTGCTGATTTCCGCAATCTATGTGCTATCCACCCTTAATGTCTTTTCCTAATTTCCTCTTCAAATAGAAGCTGATTTGTTCTCTCCCATATTGGGCTGTTGATGATGATATCCAACTAACAGACATTGGACATTTTGAGTAGGAAATTGTTTATAAATACTTGTACCATTTTGATTATAGTTGTGGTAGTTGTTTCACTTTCAGCTGCGTAAAGTAGAACTGTCTTGATATTCGTACTGAAGATTCAGACTTTTGTGTTGGCTGATAGTTGTTTCGAGTTTCGGTCGTGAGAATGCCGCCTTTGCATTGCCAATCCGTACCCCCACATCAACACCATATTTCTATATGTTTGTTGTCGATTCTGCCCAGATAAGTCAACGCCAATTGATCTCCAGCTTGGGCCTCTACTGGATATTCCATGTGGTTCAGCAACACTTTGTTGAAAACTTTTCCCGATACTGACAGTAGCGTAATGCCTCAGTAGTTCTAACACTTGTCAGATCTTTCCTACGTAACTTGATAAGGTGTCCTTTATTCCAGTCTGTTGACACTTATTCTTCGTTTCAAATCTTCACGAATAGACTATAGAACATCTCTGCAATTACCTCTCTGGCTGACTTCAGTGCTTCAACTGGTATGTTATCTGATCATGCTGCCCTTCCACTCTTGATTTGTCTGATGGCCACGCTGTTTTCTTCCATCGTTGGTGGATTGGCGTATATAGAAAGATCTGTGAGTGATGCATCGATGTCTTATGGGTTCGGTGATGCTGGCCTATCCAACAGTCTTTCTAAGTGCTCAGCCCACATGTTCCCAAGTGTTTGAATTTAAGCGACTGGCTTGCTTTCTTTGCTCTTGACTGGTCTCCCTGGCTTGAAATATTTCCCACTCTCGAAACATCATTCTCTGTTTTTTCCAGATCTTTCACATATTTCTGTGTGTCGGCTTTATCGCTCTTCATCAATCTCCTGTTTGATTCTGTATATTTAGTTTGTGCATTAACTTTCTCGTTCCTGTTCATCTGTTGATCTTCCTTTATTGAATCCTATCCAGGGTTTCGATAGAGACCCATTCCTTTTGATGATGTTGCTTACAGCCTCGTGCTTATTGATAAGTTGAAGTTAATGCTTAATTGATCTCTTTCCAGTCGTACTTCACAGCAGTTTCTTCTTTGGGTAGATCATGTAAGGCTTGGAAACTGTTGTTAAGATCTATTCTGAATTCCTTGAGTTCATTGTGGTCTCAAAGGAAGGCTGTATTGAACATTTGCAATGCTGTTTTCCCAACTGTTCAGTGTTTCTTTAGCTTCGCTTTCATCTTGGCCACAATCAGATGGTGATCTGAAGCTGTATCAGCTCTTCTCCTGGTTATCACATCTTCCATTGTCCTACTGAATTTTTCAGTGATGCAGATATGATCAATCTGTTTCTCTATAAAGTGATGCGGTGTGACTCATGTAGCTTTGTTTATGTGTCTGCGGGAGAAAATAGTGCCATCCATAAGCATCTTGATGTATTCACATAAATTTGCAAATCTATCACCATTTTCGTTCATTTCTCCCAGTTCATGTCGTCTCATGATATCTTCATACCAGGCGTTATTTATTTCTACTTTGGCGTTTCGGACATTTATCAGAATGGTCAGGTCGTTTCCTAGGCACTTCTTTACGATTCACTTCAGCCCCTCATAGAACTGATCCTTATTTCGTCGTTGCTATTATTGGTGGATGCATAACATTGGATAACATTCACTGTGATTCACTGCTTCTTTGTTTTGAAGAATGCTTTTATAATTCTGGATCCATGAGATCCCCATCCAGTAATTTTTTCCCGTGCCTCTTTGGAAAGCATCACAGCAACTTCCCGTGTGTGTAGAGCATTTTCTTCTTCGTGATGAAAATCCAATAGCATCTATTCCGAATCTATCCTTTTCTGTCTGACTGTTGACTGATTGAATTATCTTTCATGATTTTTACTTAAAAACCAAACCTCTTTTCTGAAATTAAATTGACATTTAGAAGCAAACTTGGTCTTTTGAACGTTACAATGGTGGTATTATATATTTAAAAAGGAGAATTCTGAATGATAACAGTGACAAAGAAATGATAATGAGGATGTAAAGATTTATCTCCTTTTCCAGAGAGACGCTGACCTATTGAATATGATTTCATCAATGAAATTAAACATATTACGCCATGTTATTAAAGGTTTCACAATTTCATGATTAATAATGACAATATACCATAGTTTGGCTACAAAACGTAAAAATCTATCATCAAACTGATGAGTATCATTGAACAATTGAAGTTGGATTAAAAAAGCTTAATATAAATGATAAACGGAATGCACTGAGCTGTAATAGCTGGTTAGTCAAATGTATACACTTTCTGACAATAAAACATGTTGTTTGTCGTTTGAATAAATAACTAGAAAAAACTGGTTTCGTTTCATCCCTAATGATGCCTAAATTTAGATATATCTGTGTAAATAATCAATAGTTGTAACATGCTAGCATATTCACTATATGATATGACAGGATCAAAAGACAAATATATTTTTAACCCACTATGTTCAGTATGACATGGAGCATGCAATCTTGTTAACTTCTCATATATGTGACTTCTTTCTAATTAATAATCAAAATGTGTGCCTAATCAGTATATAAATCAACTAGCTTTTGAATATGATTGTCATGTTTTTGAAGTGAATAAATCTTCACTCTCACCAGTCTTCCGTGTTCTGACTTCTCGTCGTGGGTATTGTAGTGTTTACTCGCTTTTACGTACAAGTAATAGGCAATGCGAATATTTAACTAATTCTCAGCAAAATCATAAAAAGCAAATTAATAAATTAGATACAGAAAATTTAATTGACTATCCATCACCCGTTGGGGGACCAATCTAGGTTAAATATAAATGAACATTTATTTCAATTTAGTTCCAAAATTCTCAGCTATACTCATTCACTATCGTGGGTTTGGCTTTAATAATATGCATCGAATGATTTACTGTGGTTATCATGTTGTGATATTGTCTTTGTTGTAGGCAATTCCATTGCATAATATGGATACAGAAGTCTCATTTGAAAATCTGAGCCAAATCTGTTCCGTTGTAAGTTCAAAATTAAATCACTTTTAAGGTAGCATACTCATGCAAAGAACTTTTCTGATGTAAACCTGGTTATCCAAATATGTCAAAACTTACTATAGAAATATTATTAACTCACCGATGGTTAATCTTCATATATTCCCCATCTTATCAACTTACTACTACTACTACTACTACTTAGTCCTGATACCGTTCATGGAGGAGCATAGGCCGCCCAACAGCACTCTCCATCTTGTAAAACTAATGAGCAAATTCATACATTCTTTAACTTACTGTACAAGTAAATTTAAATCAGTTTTATTATGACCTTTGCTGTTACCGAGCCACGATCATTATTATGACCTGTCACATCTTATCATTATTTGAATTTTACTGGTATGACAACTTTACATAATTCTTATCGGTTATCATAACATGTGAAATTGTATGTATAGTGTGATGTCATCCATTTAGTTATAAATTATGGAACATGAAATCCCTGTTACAGAAGCCTACACTTTAATAGTAAAGAATAATTTCATTATTATCGAATTCTAACTGCAAGTTCTGAAAAGTTTTATCCAGCTATTCTGTAATCAAATCATGTTCTATTGAGAATAAACTGCTTATAGCAGTGTCAAATATAGGTGATCAAAATATCCCTACTTTCAGAAGATATAAGATTTTCATCATAGATGTTATTGAGACCTGAAACAGTTTGAAAGTTGAGTTGACCAAAAATATATTCAACCTATATAAATGACACATTAAAATACGTCAAAAGAAATGTATACTCGGTATCCAAAATGAAATACTCTATGACTAAGAGAGACAAATGCAATTTATTGTTTCCATCACGCTTTTCTGTTACAGATAGAAATCATGAAACTAACACTTGATTTTTCTCAGTCGTCTATTTCTCAATAATACGATATTACAAATTTATTAATATGCACACTAATAATTGTTTGTCAATTAGAACTACAAAACATTGCACAAATCCATGAAGTCACTGACAAGTGGACTGAGTCATTTTGGTAGGTGTATACTATCTGGTTGAGTTCCCCGTAATGATGCCAACAGATGGTTAGAGATCTTGAATGACATGGCTCAAGATCGTTTGCAATGGCGCAGGTCCACCCACTCTTTGTGTTGTCCCGAATTCTAATCTTCTGGATTATTCATGTCTCTTTTCTCTTTTCAAATTAATTCCGCTGGATTATAGCCTTTGAATAACATCTTCAAATCCTAATCGTTCAGATTACAGCTTATGTTTTTACTACCTCTACCACTACGGGATTTGAATCGATAGCTGCATCTCTGTGCTAATATGGTATGGAAACTTGAACTGGTGAACGTAAGTACAAAGTTCTACGTTGTTACTGACTGATTGACTTATTCAAAAAATAACTTTTGAGTTTGGCTGAAGTAAACTCCTTTCAAAATTAATATGAATAAAAATTCTAAAGTTCAAAATTCAAACAGAAAGAT